CTGTGAATCCAATGCCAAACAGAAGTGCACAGCAATTAGTTGCAAACTAGCTGATCAATAGAGTCTTTGTGGCTCAGTTGTGACTCGGCACAGGTTACATCCCCTGCAGATGGAGACTGTTATCTCCGACTCAATTTCACTTTGCAAATGGAGGGCAGGCTACAAAAGAAAGGTGCTTTTCTGAAACAAGCCATCTATTGTTAGTTTCTTCCATCTACATTGAAATAAAATATCTAAAGCTGGAATGCCCCTGAACTGCACTTCTTGGTCAAACATGGCTGAACTCTATAGCCGGTATATGTCCCTGCCTCTGCACACCAACAAACCTTTTGGAATAAAAAGCACAGCACAAAGTGCATATCCACTATAAAGAAAAGCTGATAACAAACCATTTACTGAAAAAAAGTTTTACTTTTCAACTGAAGTTGTGAAACTTCCTCTTGTCAGAATTTACTTGCAAGTACATTGTGTGAAGATTTCCAAAGGTTAGAAACATCTTGATTTCAGCTGTTTGAGGAAAAAAAATGTGTTCATACTTGCAAAAGAAACAAAAAAAATGCACATCATTTAAAAAAAATGTTCATGACTAAAACATGGAACACGGATCAGTCATTTAAACATTTGAAGCTAGCACCAAACATGCATCTACGGTACTAACCACAAATTTACAAATGCAGTTCATCGTTTCCTCATGTCACACAGTCATACATAGTCTCTTCTGGTGTATCCATTGACTGATATGGTTTTTACAGCTGAGTAGTCAATGCGGGAAGGTGCAGAACCACCACCGCTTGGTGCCGTGGTTGATCTGCGAGGGCAGGAGCAGCAGAGCAGGGCTCCCCCTAGAATCAGCAGGCAGGAAGCAGCCCAACCAAAGTACAGAGCATTACCAAACTCCCTCTTCCCTGTCTCCTCCAGCATGGGGTCATAGAAGCCCAGGACAATGGCGTGAGCTGTCCAGGACACAGCCAGCAGAAGCAGCAGTCCAGCCACCACAAATGTCACCCCTGCAGCCACCATGAGGCGAGGTTTACTGCTCACATCCCGGCTACAGTTGGTGCACTTGGCACCAGCCACTGACAAAATGATGCCCACAATGCAAAGAACCAGAGAGATGATGACCAAGGCACGAGCTGCTTGCAGGTCAACTGGAAGCCCCAGCATGGATTCATGCACCTTGCAGTGCATCTGCCCTGTGCTCTGTACAGAACAGTTCATCCACAAGCCTTCCCAGATAACCTGAGAGATGACAATGTTCTGGCCGATGTAGGCAGTCACTCTCCACATAGGCAGGCCACAGGTCACCATTACTCCCAGCCAGCCAGCCACAGCCAGAATGATCCCGAGGATCTCCAAACCGGTAGAATACATAGTTGGATGAGGAAGGAGCTGAACAAAATTCAGTTTCAGTGCGCTGTGAGATGGGAGGGCTTCTGTGTCGGTGAGCTCAACCCTCTTGAGATGAAGGTGACATTGGATCTCTGTGGCTCAAAGGCCTGTGCAAGGCTTTTAGCGAGAGAGGAAGAGAGAGGGAGAAAGA